TATTTGACAGAAGCGGCTGGAAGGAGTGAGACCTGTAACGCCCAACTAGAGTCTTTGCATCGAGGCACTTTCGTCCATCGATGAGATTCTGACAGCCCGTTCATGATTTTTTAACTATCACCGTTGACCAAATATCGACCACGTAAATGTCTTCCATGACGAGTACGCAGATCTACTTGACTTTTCCACTAAGTAGATCTCGCAAGAACTGTCTAGCTTTCAACGTTGACTGTTGAGCTGTCTGCGAACTTAACTTTAAATTCTCAATCAGACCGAACGTGCAAACGTCCACCCTCTACGTCGCCGTTAATCAATACTTTCAACGTATCGAATATGCTACGAAAACATATTCTAAAAGATGCGGCACTAATTTCCTTACAACACTGAGGGATTATTATCCAGCAGGTACTTCTTCAGAAAATCGTTTCCTCGATACTTGGGGCTTATTCCTCAACGTGTTAAGATTTGGTAGGAACGTTACATCTTGGTACTCTACGTTTGACTCTCTTGTCGACGAACATGTACTGTTTTGCCGCTTCTGGGCAACCGATACATTGTTTCTTCGATGTTGCTCACAGTAGGTATGCATCAATGTTGATGTACACTTGGCTTGTTCGAGCGTTTAAACATTCACCGCTGCCTCTGCATCCGCACAGCCGCCGGGAATTCGATCCACGTTGTAGTGATAACCTACACTAAAGTATTGTTCAGTCGTTCTTACGAACAGAACACGAGTGAGGCCACACCGCTAACTAGTAGAAAATACATAAGCTTGTGGACGCTCCAAGGCATTTATCAGATGAACATTTGATGAAAAGCATCAGGCATCTTCGCTTACTGATGCTACCAGCTCACCCTCGATTCGTACCTTCTAAGCCAGGGTAATTCCAGGATGTCATCAAATTTACCATCCAGATCCAGTACGATGGAAAGTAGTCGTACTGTTCATCTCGTAATTTTCGCAGATTTAAATACACTATTCATTCCGGCCGCAGATGCGCCTGTAACAAGGCGCACCGTCATTTTGGTTGGATCGATGTCGAGCTCAGCGAACTCAAGCCTACGATACTATAGCGACTGACGATGAACAAAATTATGCGACTCCTAAGGGTCAACGAGGTCACGATTGAAGTTCTATTGTCAATTCCAAGCTCAAGTTGGTGCTGTGTACCTCATCATCAGGCGCAGAGACGTACACTTCTGTACTTGGAGCAACTTTCTTCAAGAGGCGTTAAAATTATCGCCTACGATTGCTGGATCAGTAAACCGCTCGACCGCTACTGATCCTGACCTTTTTTTACTGTCAGCGTCATATCCGGGACTTCGTATCAGTATCAGAATCACACCACTGCCCTTCTTGAAAGACGCTCGATCACTTCCCTCAGTACTGCGAGGCACTGGGCGTGGAACACTAATCTCGTAGGCTTAGCGCCCTATCTTCTGACACTCGTACTTCTTCAGTAGCTTTTCTTTCGAATATAGATTACGCCAGCTGTCCACGTAATCAATATCGACCGGTTCCGGACCTCATATTTACAGTCGTCTCGATGGATAATAAGAACTTGGTATAGTTCAGGTATGTTATGTAGTAAGTGTTCTTACAATTCTCCACTGATATTGCTCGTTATAGCGTACCTAGATCGAGGCAGAGCAGGTGGCTCATGATGGGACCGTCCGATAGACCAGGGAAAACCACTGTGATTTTGTGCGTTTACAATCCGTGTAACGGGGTGAGCCCTTTACATAAAAATAATCCAGTTTTGATAATATTCAATTTGCATCACCCGAGAAGAGTGATGTTGTCGGAATATTACCCCCGAGGGTAATATTCGTGGGTGCTCCACTTCTTGATTGATGTGCCGTGCACATCAACCAAACTAGCCACCAATCGCTGCTAGACGCACGCAATGGGTTGTCGACAGAAGACCCACATAGGATATAGTAGTTTATTATAGTTAGATTAAGACGAAAGATGAAATAGCAAGAAACCTAACTATATTAAACAACAGTTCTACTTTTCCCTCAAGACAGAGCTTTCGGGTTTTGCTTTGTCTTGGTCGCGCACCCTCACGCCACGTGTACGTGGCGCCGGGCGCACGCTACCTTGTGTTGATCCGACACAAGGGCGTGCCCCGTTACAGTCACTGTGTTCATTTTTACACGAAGCCGTGACTCGCTGCAGCACTCGGTAGGACTTTCCGCTGCCTTTGTTTGCTAAATGCACTGACTTGAAAGATGATGACGGCCGCGGCCCACTACGAGTCGATTCTTTGCCATCTTTAAGTGCAGTCTGTAAGACCAGCGACAAGGTTCTACTACCAATGCAGCTTGCCAGAACGATCGTTATACATCGACGTCAAGTCCATCCGTAACGGCTCGCGAGATCAGTACAATGGCGTTGGCTCCTTGTAGGGTCGGCCTGTTGATTGTGGCAGTCCAGGGTGACTTCTGTATCCAGTCAACCACAATGATCACCGCTACGCTCACCAACTACTTGGTTTTACCGCGTCATGCGCCTCTACGCTTTGCATTTGTTCGACGACGCCGGTCTCTTGTCGGACCGTTCTTTGTCGCCAACAAATTTTCTAATGGAAAATCATGGAACAACTTGCCGTCGGTGGCTGCGCAGTCAAAAATCGATCAGCTTGAGAGCGAGCAGAGAATTCGTGTACAGAGCTGCACTGTAACGGGGCACGCCTTGTGTCAATTCAACACAAGGTTGTGTGCACCCGACGTCACGTACACGTGGCGCGAGAAAGCGCAGCGAAGTAGGCAGAACTCGAAAGCTCTGAATAAGGGAAAAGTAGAACTGTATTCAATATAGTTATGTTTCTTAATAAACCATTTTTGTCTTGAGCTAACTAAATTAAACTACAATCCCCTATGTGGGTTTCTCTCTCCACCCATTGCGCGCGTCCAGCTGCAATTGGTGGTTAATCTGGTTGATGTACCGTGAACATCAACCATCAGGTGGAGCAACCCATCAAAGAGATATTACCCTCGGAGGTAATATTCCTTCAACCTTACTCCTTACCAGTAATGTCAACTGAGCTATTATCTAAATAGACAATGTTCCAAATTGATACAAAAATATCCATTTTTATGTCACGGGCTCACCCCGTTACATCTTGGCTAAAGATCAACGTTCGGGACCCTTCTTTTGCTCGCAATACTGACTTGCGTGGTCAAGTACTGCGAGTACTAGGCGGAAGCTGCTAGGAGAAGACTCGATGCAGCAGCTTCCTTTAACTAGTCGACTGGCCGCGTATAGGCCACACTATGACTACGATCGTAGAGAAGCTCGACGCTCTAGAACGACTGGAAAGGCGCTAGCAAACGAGGCAAGTCAGGGATGCTCCCTTGTTCAATGTGTGCGTAGCAGGAACAAACGAAAGCAAGAGTTGTCCTCACGCAAGCGGTCGCTACTCAGCCGGTCTCTACGCTCAACGAACGAGATCAAGAGGCAGCCCTTGGATTCTTGTGCTGGATACCAAAATAACAACGGCGGCTGACACGACGTTGTTGCTTCAACATGAAGTTGGCACAATCGTCGACATTTGCGTCCAGCAACACGCTTCAGCGCACAAGCAATCCCATCCATGGTATCGATTGCCATGTGTCGGCCATGCAGCGGTCGTTTGCGTCAACAACGCCATCGAGGAAACAGACGAGTGGCTTTCGCTTTCACACAAGTCAACTCACCTTGATGCGCTCAAAGCGGGCACTGTTGCTGTAAAAGGCAGCACATCAGCAACTCGCTCGTTGGTGTCGAGTCCATTGTCCACGACGTGGTCCGATGGTAGTTTATGGCAGTACCAGTACTTGCAACAGGCTGTTTGACCGCCGCAACTGAGCTCCGGACAAACAAGACACCTCCGTGTTAACATCGCGTGGAAAAGGAGCTAACATGTCTCGAGCGTAGCTATGAGTGCTTCTCCCCCCGCTGGATAGTGGCTACCAACGCCGAGAAGACGCAGTGCAGCTATACAGAGGCAGCAACAGTCACGGGCAACACTTCACACACGTGCCTCGAAAACTGCGTGTGCCCAAGTCAAGTCGAGTCAAGCGGTACGACACGGCACGAGACCTCCCGGTAAAACGTCCTTGTGAAAAAAGCTATTTATCTTGGCCTACTGTAACGTTCGACTTGTAAAGAATGGCACGGCATCTTGCTTCGGACCAGCGAAAAACGCGTTTCTAAGACGAAAGAAATAGATCGACTTGAGGGTCGGCACACGCGCACACCTGTTCCGGTCGACTGGATATTCATTTTTATGCGTCTGCTGCCCACCACCGCAACTCGGCCGAGCTGTTGTTCGACGCCGCGTGAAACAGCCGTGGCCACCCACCCACCCAAACTGGCCCTTCGTTCTTCTCTCTTGCGTTTCGCCCACGAGGCATCCGACCTGATCCACAACCTACAAGTCCCATCGATCTGCCTACACGTCCCATCGATCTGCCTATCTACATTATCCTACCAGCAACTCAGTCGGTCGAGGCCACAAGTAGCAGCGCGTGCAACTTGAAGCAACGCGGCTCTGCTTGTCTCACCTTGAGCTCCTTGGCCGACATACACGCCCACCTCGCGCGTCGTCCTCGTCGTCCTCTTTCATCTGCGCGTTTGTATGCGCGCGCGACACCAGGAGACTCGCTCCGTGTCGCGTTGTCACCAAACGAGGGGATGGTGAAGATCCCGTCTGGATGTCGCGTTTCGCGCCGTCCAGGCGGGCGTTGATCCGTTTCACGGACCCTTTTCTCCTCGCGGACGCCGTGCACCACCGCGCGCACTCTCCGCCGCAGACGCAGCTGCCCCCGACTCCATGTCCGTCAACGCTGCGCCAGCGATTCCCTCTCCTCAAACCGCTCTCCCTCTCGTGCCGCCCGTCCGCCCGCTGTCTCTCTCACAAACTCATTCGCACTTGACCACCAACGCCCGCCACCATTGCCGTCCCCACCACCGACGACTCCCTCACGTGCCACACCACAACCCACAGATCCCAATGAACACCTCCTCCCCACCGCCCGCGCGCACGAGTCCCAATAGCCCCATCGGCCGCGACGTCGTCACGGTCGGCACCGCCGGCAAAGTCGGCGACGGCGTCAACGCGTTCTTTGTCTACAAAGTCACGTCGTCGGCCGACGTCGTCGTCGAGCGCCGGTACTCGGACTTTCTGTGGCTCCACCAGCAGCTCGCGACGCACTGCGCGGGGTACGTGATCCCTCCCCTGCCGGCAAAGGTCGTGGGGCTGTTGCAAGGCCCCGAGTTCCTCGAACACCGCCGCGCGGGCCTCGAGGGCTTTGTGCAAAAGGTCGTGGCCCACGACGCGCTCTCCCACGCCACGTGCGTGCGCAGCTTCCTCACGTGCTCGAGCGTCGAGCTCTCGGCGCTCAAGAACGCGTCTTCTGCGCCTGCTGGGGCGGCCTCGACGCTCTCGTCCGTCGTGCAGCGCACGCAGTCGCTGCAGCACTGGTGGGACAAGACGTGCCAGCGCTTCGTGGAGACTGACCCGCTCGGGCTCTTTCGCGCGCCCGTGGACGGCGACGGCAACGACCGTCCGTCGACTCCTCCCCACCAATCCATCGCCGACAATGGCAGTAGTAGCAGCAGCAGCAGCCCAGCGGCCACCGCGACGAGTAGCAGCAGTGGAAAGGACGACCGCGAGTTTGCAATTGCGCGCACGTACGTGACAAAGCTGCGGGCGCAGATGCAGTCGCTCAAGCGCAAAGTGCGCGCCGCGAGTCAGCAGAACCAGTTGGCCGCCGGCGCGCACTGCGACCTCATCGAGTGCCTCCACTTGGTGGCCGACGCCGACGCCGAACACGCCGAGCTGCCGACGGCGTACTACAGTGCGCTGATCGCTGTGCTCGACACGCGCGCGCGGCAGATGGACGCCGAGCTGCGGGCGTTCGCCGTCACGGTCGACGACATGGCGCGCTGGGTGAAAGCCGTGCAGAACGCGCTCGACGTGCGGGAAGACCGGCGGTTTGTGTACCAGGCGCAGCTGGCGGCGCACCGGAAGGCCGTGGCGGGCGACGGCGTCGACTCGCCGTCCGCCACGCGCCTGAGCGAAGCGCTCGTGGCGGCCAAAGACGAGTTCGAGCGCGTGCACGCGCGCGTGATGCACGAAGTCGCGCGTTTTCGCGGCCAAAAGGCCATTGAGCTCCAGAAACTGTTTCTCGAGTTTGCGCACGTGCAGCTGCGCAACTCGAGAGAGTTCGAGGCGGTCGTGGCGCAGAGCGCTGTGGAGCTCGCGCACCCGCTGCCGGAGAAGCTGTTGCTGGCCGCGCAGACGCCGGCGGCGTACCAGTCGCGCAACTCGTTTGGCCTCGACAAGGACGACGTGGCGCAGTCGACGGCCTCGACGCAGTCTCTGTCGGGCAGCAGCAGCGCAGCGACGACGGCGGCGGCAAAGCCTCTGGTCGAGCGCTCGCATGTCTACGTGCAGATTTAAAAGGGGCGGCGCGCACGGGACAGGCAGAGAGGAGGAGAGCGAAGGCGCGCAACGGCTTTGTAAATTGTGCACGTAGTAGCGGTTGCCGGCTCGTTTGCTGCGTTGTATCCCTCTGCTGGGCGGACGGACACGTGTGAATATCGTTTGCTACTGCGTTCGTTGCGAGAATCGGTGGATGGCGGTGGGAGGCAGAGCTAATGAGTGTGCTCCGCCACCCGTCTGTCTGTCTGTCTGTCTGTCTGTCTGTCTGTCTGTCTCTCACTTGCTCGTTGTCGGGTCGAGACGTAGCCATTGCTAGACGTCAAATGGTCACCTGACGGCGTGCAGGATGTTGCCTGGCACGACTTCTTCATTGGTCTTTGAGTCAGCACTGCCGGCGGCCCCGTACTCTTCCACGAAGACCGCAGTCACTTTTATTGTGTTTGTTCGGGTGTTTCTTTGCCGGAAGATGCGCGTCGAATCGCTGCAAACGCTTCATGTTTTTGGCGCTTTTCAGAGTCTCGAGCACAGGCAAACAGTCGATGTCTTTACTGTTGAGGTATCTCGGGAGCACGTGAATTTGCACACCTGAGAAAGCAGTCAGCGCACGCATATCTCCCCCCTTCTCCAGTCCAGCGACCGAGAAATCGCTTCAACACGCGCAAGCCCTTCGACAGGCTCAACGGTGTGGGCTGCAGTTTTACAGCCGTGGCACGTTTGCGACGCCGAACAAGTATCGCCGCCAGCGACTTCGATCCAGAGACCGGTTGTTTGTGCAGCTTGAAGCACGAGACGGGAGACCGTGTGGCGAAAGTGAGACATTCGCGACGTGATCTCGTACCGTCCAGTGGGACGTGTGAGGGCGAGGGATGGGCGAAAGTCATCACGTCGGGCAGCTGTCGCTCGGCTCATGTTGCACTTCGAACGGCAGAGGTTGCGATCAGCTTAGATGGACGTGTACGAACATAAATCAAATGTGGCGGCTGCCTGCTGCAGTTGAACGTGTCCGTCCGCAGCACTTTTATGACCGCGACTTGTCCCCACAATGCGACACCGTGCCACTGTGGACCAGCCATAGCGTGCCTGAACTAGGCGCGTGACCAAGAGCCAAATCAGCCTCGAAGGCTCACCCAGTCCCAATGAGAAGAGAAGGGATACCAGCAGAACTGCCCGTGACCACCGCTGTCGTCCAGGGGCTACGAGTCATGCAAACGATTTGGTTCCGTCGGACGTATGCTGAAGTAACGTCGGTCGGTCCCGTTCAAACGAATGCGCAGGCCCGATATGAAGCACGCAAGCAACGATCATGCCAAATTTGAAGCAAAGTGCTGCAGTGCCTGCTTGTCTTGTATCGTATCCGTAGGTAGTGAATTGAGCGAAACGTTTTTCAGATCTTTTAATGACCTAAGGGAACGATCGCGATCGTCCACGGAGTGTCTGCGTCAGATCGACCGGGTGGCGGAGTCTGTGTTGCTGCCTTGTAGTTGCGGCTCGCTTGCATCATTTACATCTGCGCTGCGGCATACAGACTGAACAGTAGAGCCTTCCGATTCTCAGTAAAAGCACTGCGTACAACCCACATCGGTCAGGTTGAGTAGCGGTGGACACAAGCTCGCAATCTCGGTATCATCGCGCTTTTGAACCCGCACATAGAAACGTGTGTCTACAATCGCCGAGTCTGTTCCGCTCCCGTGCTGAACTACGAGGTGGCTCATGTTGATAGCTACGTACATGTGCATACGAGAAACCATGCTACATTGAGCAGCCGACTGTGAACGAGTGATAGAATGTACCGTAAATCATGCCGCATTTGCTTGGGTTGAGGTGCTTGCCAAAAGGAGATCGAAAAAAGACGCATTACTTTTCTCCGTTAATGAACGATGGCTTGTGACAGCTTCTTACTGCACGCACATTCTGCGGCCGGACCACAGAAATATATGACGCTGGTTTGACCAACGGTGAACCCGTAACTGACTGCGGTCAATTTCATGTTGCAGGTGCCGATCCAAATTAGTCTTGACACGGCTGTAGTGATAAGCTCAATATTGAAAGACTCGGAGCTAACCTCGTGCAATGGAGTGAGCGTTTCAAAGCGTCAAAGAAGTACGTCCCTCTTCGTCTCAAATCAGCCCTTTTTCGACTACAATGGTGTGATTAGTCCAACTTATCGTTGAGACCCCAGTGTGGCAGAGTGAGCCTTCTGCATGGGATTCCGACCCAGCGTAATGGCAAAGCATCAGCCTGTTTGAGTCGGTGATTGCACATTTTGCCCCTTCACGACCAAGAAGAAGGTCATTGGAAAGAAAAGAGGTATCGACGGTACTCCCTGGGAACCTAATACCAACGAGCAAATATACGTTATAAGCGGACGATCACACTGCATTTTACGACAGTCCTGGTAGCCATAAGGCGATGACCAAAAGGAAAGAAGAGCAAAAAGCAGAATGAAGTACATATAGGTTGAGTGATCTAATCCCTGGCAAAATGATACTATCTTATTTATGATTGGGTGCTGATCCACCGACTTCGTTCCTGTGATAAGAGATGCTGTAAACTTGGTGATCGGTAAATTAATATATCGTTAAGATAACCCTATCATATTTGATATATTTGTGCTCACTTTTTGGCTCAATCCAAATGGACGATGGACTCTGATGCTCGTAATCATCAGTAGCTCGAGGATAAACTGTTAATCTAAGTGGAATACGCGTAAAAACAGCGGCGTTGCGTCGAGTTTTGTTATATATATATATCATAAGTGGATAGCCGGTAGCTCGTGTGCACATGCCGAATGTTGACGACGAGATGGTGGACTGGTAGACCGCGTGAGTGAGTTTGCTACGGATGCCGATTCAGTAATGCGAAAGTATGCTGCTAAACTCTTGTCCGTGTGAACTTAGTACCGCTACATTACAGAGACATATTCCATGCTGAAGCAATCGGTAATTTGCTGATTAAAGCGTACATGTACGCATTCGACTTAGAAAATGGGCGTAGAAATCAGTCGATTGCATGCCATATATGTTAAATTTTATGCCATTACAATTGGGTTAAGAGTGGTAGAGTGGGTCAACAACGCATCGATGACGCAGAAGTGTTCTCTCACCGCCTAAACCGTAATACGAGTCGCACTACAAATCATGGACATGACTGTATGGTAAACGTAGATGATGCTCTTGTCTATGATGCTAACGAAGACAAGACGGATGCAATATTTAGGCCAGCGATCCTCTCCATTTTGAAACCGTAAGTGTATGAAAATGTAGGTTGGCGAAAGTAGATTTATCTGGCATGCGAATTCTCGACCATCATGGAGACGGACAGAAGTGCATAGTGATACTAGAGCTGTTGTATACTCTGGAGTATTTGGAATTGTATGTGAGTACTTATGGATGTCTCCGCCCACGTCAGACGACGACATCTTTCAGAACTTTATGAACTCTGCACAGCAAGAACCCTGCGTTTTGTGAAACCAGCACAATGGCGTTGGCGTCTTACTTCCTCGCTCACAACTTTTTCCGTATTTGGTATGATCGCGGAAGAGTGATTCTTCTATTTCTTAGCGTTAAACCGCATCATTTATCTGGTCGAGTTGGTCCATTGAACCGCATCTGTCAATGTTTGTGCACGGATTAGTCCCCTATCTACTGTTAGAGAGGCAAGCGATCTAAGATTAATAAATATGTTACTCGTCGTATTTTGCCACTTTTTGGTGCAATTGAAGCGCATTGCATAAAAACGAGGTCTTCTTCGGTATCAACAGAGATTTTTACCGTCAGATCACATATTAATTTGTACACGGCGCTACTCATTCGTAACGATGCATCCTCGAATTCCAGGCCACATGCTAGAAAATGACAAGCTGAAGGGCTTATGCCCATACACATCTAAACAAGGATCAAGTACGATTCAACAAGAAAGCTGCAAAGAAAATGCAACCGAATGTTAAGGATAACAACTACCAAAACCTGCGCAAAAAATGGATTTTAGGCTAGACCCCTTTAGGGTTTCGTAGACCAAATTCGCTACAATTATTCACTATAAAGAGCTAATATAATCTAATTATTTGCAACCTGAGCTCGCTAGCAAAAGTAGTGGGGGAATACTGTGCATTTACTGAAATGGATTTACACATGCTTACTAGCGGCTACAAACAGTCATTTTTGATAAGATTTTAAAAATGTAACGTATATTGCTATCTTATCGTTTGCTTATCAGAAAGTAACCTACGGGTTACATCTCACTACGCTCATTTCCTTCTATGATATGCAACCTTCACGTGAATGCTTCTGTAGAGAAGGTGTGTCTCTCCACCAAACTTTTATCAAACCAAGCACAAGCTTTCACTTTTTGTTGCTGTCAACGTAACTTACACGCCGATCGACGAATGTAGACCGGAGATAACTTCACGCGTGAGCACAGATTCTACAATATTTCTGTCATCGATATTATCATGTGCTTTATTAAGGAATGCGACATTCCCATCTACACCCCGCATGCTACAGAGTTGACAGCTGTCGTGTGCCTACATACAAGCACAAAAAAATGTTGAGGTCCATCGGGTTTCAATTCCGCCATTAAATCATCTATGGCAGCATACTGATAAACAGCAGTTCATCGGCGTCGATGTGTGTGGTATAGGCGTGGTGACGCGAACAAGTACAAATCCAATGTCTCAGAATAATAAAGATGACTCGGAATATCTTACCAGGACGATTCTATTCGTCTCATCTCTGTGAGCTAATCCACTATTTCAATACATGATACAGATATAGAATCGTCCAGATTAAGTTAATTTTAAACCTGTTGATGCTAATACCACCGCTAAATTTCGCGATGGCCACGTCGTGATATTGGCTGGATATTCGAAGTTGAGTTAAAAAACAAGCGACGAACTCGATCTGCTCAAACATGTTGTAGTGAACGTTCGCGAATAAAATTTCAGGGAAGGTCACAACGCTGAGCCGTATAAGCGTATAAATTTATGTATGTTCGCATCCACTTACTAAACAGAGTCCATT